TTATGTGTACTAGAGAAACATTCCAGTACTAAATTGTTTCAAAATTGAAATAGTCCTCTTATTCACTCAAAACAGTGTTTGTGCCAACAAGATTAATCTTTTTAACACCTTTTCTTGTAAGCTGCAGCTGTGTGTATTACAGCAGGTAGACTGTAAATAAGAATTCATGAGGAATGACATTGTTTCCCTTCCCTTGACAGTTATTAAATCAGCTGCTTGAACAGTGTATTCAACAGGGTGTTGTTATGGTTACCATCAGGAATGCAGCTTCACTAAAAAAAGTGCATTTTAAATACAGGCAAACTGTTAAAACGGGAACCTAAGTGTGATGCTGAGACTAGAGGATGGGCATGAGTCAGACAGAGTTAAACAGAAACGTCAAGCAGAAACATGATGGTTCTTCCTTAGAACAATGCTGGTGTTAATGTTAATACAAAGTCTGCACTTCCTAACTGCATTCCCCTCTCAGCTGATTACCCTGTCTGTGCTCATCCTGAACATTTTTCCGACACAGAGTGTGCATAAAAAGCAAAGCTGTACGTGTGTCTGCACTGAGAAGCTGCTGCTCTAGACTGAGCAAGATGCTCTGAGAAGATCAGTGGGTCAAGACTGACCTACACAGTATTAAACAGCAGGTCCAGCGGCCAGCTTTGAAGGTAGATTGGGGTGATGAACTAGATGTAACTTTTTGCCATCTGCTTACTGTCTGAGCTGTGTGTCAGGCCGTGCCAGCTGACCTGGGATATTTGCTGAAGAAATACTGCCATCATTTAAAGTCGTTACAGTGTTCATTTTCATGGCCTTAGGGCACACCACTGATAGTTGATAATTTAATTCCTCTTTTTGTGTTCCAAAATTACTTTTTTATTTCATGAACAATGAGAAAATACCGGAAGCTGTTTAAATGTCTACACATCTCTATGCAATCCAGACTTTGTTACTGAAGTATTCTGTCCTGATTTTTATCTTTGCCTTGGCAGTGCTTGTCTAGTGGGAAATGTTTTGTTTACCTATGAATGGCTATAAATATAGGGCTTTTTTTTTTTGCTTTGCTTACGTGAGGACCCTGTGGAAAACCAGATGGGTTTTCAAAGTCGTCAGGTAGAGGTATGTGTGCAAAATCTAATGGGATAACCAGTATTATTTCTGCTGTACAAAAAGTGCTTTAGCGAGTGAACCTGCTTTGGTGATGTATGCTGCTGTAATGTTAAGACTGAACACAGAATCATGAAGATGATCAGAAATACATTTCAAAAGAATCGTTGTATGTGGGCTCCTGCCACCTGTCTAGAGGTCTTGAGAAACAGCACTTAGCAGCTAGCTCACCTGTGGAGTAGGGTGTGTCTCCACAAAAATGAGATCAACAAAATCCCACAAGAAATTTTTTCATTGCCAGAAGATGGCAGTTGCTGCAGAGTCCTGTCTTTCATGTATGTGTGTACACGTTCCAAGTCATCACTGGCTTCCTTTATCTTTTATTGATACGCACAAAGTGGAAAGCAAGAAATTCTTGGAAGTTAGTGCCCTGGCATGTACAGTGAGTGAGGAAGTATGGAGCAGGTCAAGGAGTTGACAGTCACGATTTTGCCCTTCATTAGCAGGAGGTCTCACCATACACCGAAACCCCAAAACCACTGTAGCAGTTGATGCTAGCCAGTAAACACAGATTGCTCTGCAGCAAAACACCTGCAACTTCCAATGTGGCTGGGCTGAGCTAACTTGCCCTGGAGCAGAGCTGTTCCCAAACTAGATCCTGCAGTGGCAGCTACTAACATACAACCAGCATTGCAGATTCTATTTAGAATGCTTATGCAAATTGCAACAGGCAGTCTCTGGGTCTTTTTTATTTGTTTATAAAGGTTGGAATTTGCAGTCATTTACACCAGTGCAGATCTCGTCAAGCAAATGAGATTGCCAAGGTGTGAGGCTGGATGTTAATGCTTCATCTGGTATGTAGTTGTATGATTGCTCACCTGTGAGGCAGAATTGATTCCAACTCTTTCCTGCAGAATGAGGAATTACCAGAGGTAAAATCTTCAAGGCACTGCAGTAATATAAAAAATACACTTAAAATTTGGAAATAAATGTTATTAAAGACAGCAGCTAAGACTGTCCATCTATATGGGGAGCCAAGTGACTTCTTAAAGTAGAACCACACTCGTGTCTGTGTGATCTCCTGCTGAGAGGAGCTTTGGTCTCTGTAAAATATTCCTTGCAGAGGAGCCCTCTCATTATTCCCTTTCTAGCACCAGTGTCTCTAGAAACTGTTTTTTCATAATGGAAGAATGTATTCTATATCACACCAATCTAAGTTCTCTGAAGCCAGAATTTGCAGACTATGATAATAACAGTAAAAAGCCATTGTCTTAATTACAGAATGGGAAAGAAAGGAAAACTGCTTCATGTTCAGCCTGTTACTCAGCACAGCATGCCTCTGAGTTTAGTACACTGAAGGCACAGCTAGTTCCTGCTGTGTGCTTCTTGCATTAGCACCATGTTTCTGCCTTTGCAGTGTAGTACTAGGGAATCTCCTTCACCATACTTCAGCAGATCAAGTACACCTAGCCAGCCTGCTCTGAGGTGTGGTGGCAGCTACTTTTGACCCAATTGGTCATGACTTTCTGTTTTAGTCACAGTCTGGTGTTTTACCTAACTGTATAGGAATTAGGATCCCAGATGTCACTTTTTTACAGGTTCTTTCCTGTCTTATAGTACAATAAGAAAGCCTAATGTGGCCTGTTCCCCAACATATGGTAGAGCTGTCTCAACTGTCTGTATAGAATATATATCACCAGATGCAAAGTTAATGCCCAGTTGTACAAATGCTGAAAGAAACAGGATGTATATAGTTAAAAGACAAACTGGGTTATAAAATGTCCTTCATATTACAGTTTTGAGGCTGGAAGGAACCATATGGAAGACATACACTTTTTACTTGGAATCTTCCACTGTTTTTAGGGTGTCCCTGGTCCTACAAGAGAGGACTGAGTTGGCAAGATGTATTGACTATTCCCTGTCCTCCTTAGGAAACAGCAAAAGAATGAAGAGAGAAAGCAAAATCTTTTATCCACTTTTTATTTTGTCTGCTCTCTGTAGGTGTATTGCCATGGACTGTGCTGTAATTTTCCTAGGACAGGAGAGAAGGAATTTTGGTTCTGAAATATTTCTGTTCCACCAGGTCTTCAGAGTTCCTGGAGTTGGAGCACTGTTTGCTCCACCCTTTGCTGAGGGATGCTCTGAAATATTTAGTTATTGCTTTGAGAGTAAGAATTTCAACTTAATGGTTTTCTATAGAGGTTTTTCCACTCTTCACATATAACTTGAAGTATCCAAAATGGGAATGAGATATTATTGGCTTTGTCAATAGAAACATACCCAATTGGTCAAGTTAGTAAAATGCAGTCTATTTTATTAGTTTCATTTAATTTGACAGGAACAGTGTTTAAATTCCATGTATATACATTTAACCTCTGGAGGAAAAAGGTTAAAACCCTTTTTCCTTTGAGATATAGTTGCTCAGATTGCCAGAAGTTTGTCCTTGGAAGACTATTTTGTCGAGCTATCTACCTACTTGTAAAAGCTAATCATGACAAGATAGGGGGGAAAAAAATAAAGGCAAACCAAGGTTGATTCTTGAAAATGTATTGGTTATTGTCATAGGAGCTGGATCAGCAATGAATTCTGAATTTATCTGTATCTCTGAGTTTTTACTGTGGTTTGTCACATTGGATTAAGTGTCCTTTGCTGTTATGGGAAAGCATTTTTCCTTGCTTATGAAGTCTCTTTAAATGCATTTTGAGCAGGTCAAGACACAGTTTGTTACTATAATGTCCTGGCAGTATAAATGGAAAGTATGCTTTTTGAATATTTATAAAGATTTTATGTATTTTCCTTTATTCTGCTTAAAAATGCATTGCATCAAATTAAAGTTGTGGCTTCACACTAAATTTTGAGGAGATATGTTGTAGCTGAACCACACAGTCATTCTTTTAAAGCATTTTGAGTTAAATCTAATTTTTACCCTGTCTGACAAATAGGACCACTGAATGTTCAACTTGAATGCTAAAACATTATCCCTATTAAACCTGTCTTCAGAGCCAGAAAATTACAAAGGTAGATCAGAGTTTAAAGGTCTGGTTTTACTGAGCTGCTGGAGGATTTGTGTCTTCACCAGCTTCTGCAAAAAACATCAGTGCTTTCTTAAAAATATCTGTTGGTAGGTAAGAATGTTGTCCTCTTAGCTGAATCACTTGAGTTTATGGCAACCTTACTACTTAGCTGACTGTGATTTTAGCATTTGCAGTCACTGCCAAGAAGAGTTTTCTAGCATTTTTTCACCTTTCATCTTCATTTTCATGTTGAAAAACTTACTTTACAAATAGTTGTTACTCTGTGTGTTGCAAAATCTGTGACCACCAAAGGGTCTTAGAATAATGAGGGATTTTAATTACTTCAGAATAAGTGTTTCTCCTGCTCAACAGTAGAGAAGATGCTGGGAAGGATAAGACAAAACAGTATTAATACTCTCTATGACATAAGTACATTTCCTTACTCCACCTTTTACCTGGCTGAAAGCACTTGGTCTTTGACTATGCTTCAGATTATAATTTAGTTATACAGTTTATGAACAATCATAATGTGGTCTGCTATATGGCTCTATGATTTTGTGTTCCCCTAAATTTTTAGGTAATCGTGTTAACTTAATTTAGACCAGACATTTCAGAGTTCTCTGAAGGCTATTGATTTATTTGTGGAATATATCTTCATGTATAAATAATTAATTTGCTTGCAAAGGATAATGAATGACTGTTTCTCACAGTGCAATCAAAATATGTCCGTTTTGTATAATTGTTGTGGATCATTATGAATTTGTGATTAGGCAGCAAGTAATTGCTTCCCAGATACTTTCCACAAAGCCCATTCCTTCTAAGATTTCTATTTTGGGGCTTCAACCCTGTTTGTGTGGAGGTTTTATTTGGGGACTTTCTGTTTACTTTCAGGAATTATTTACCTGATCTCAGCTCTCGGCCACCTGGCACATTCTACCCTCTTCCTGACTGTTTCTGCACAGGATGGGGGTGGCCTTCCCTCTGCCACCAATGCAGCCATCACAGTAAACATCCTTCAGACCACTTTGGCCCCTGCTGTATTTGAGAGATCCCAGTATATTTTTTCTGTTCCTGAAAATATACCTGAAGACAGCCCAGTTGGCACTGTAAAGGCCAGAGAGCCTCCAAGTAAGTTGCATGCTCACTCAGAGATTACATTGCATTTTTGTTGTGACCATTAGCTGGAAATATTTGCAGATACTTAAAAAATCTCACCAACTTTCATACTATTCATTCAGTCTGTTGAGCATTAAGTAGTATTTGCTGTTGGTATTTCAGTCTGTTGAGCATTAAGTAGTATTTGCTGTTGGTATTTACAGCAGCTTCTGTATCAGGATGCTTTTTAGAACAGATGGATATTCGTGGTACTCTCCTTGGTGGTCCATGGGGATTGGCAGCTGCCTCCCTTCTCTTTCAGGTGGATTTCTATAATTGTAAATGGGGAGATAGGAAGCATGTTGTGAAAGGGTGAGGAAGTGTCTGTGTCATAGTGTAGCTTATGTGAAACCATTAGTCCTGAAAGACAAGTCTCGGAGCAATGCTCATGAGCAGAGACAATTTGGAAGTTTCAGAGAATCTGTATGAAGTTCTGTTGCAAAAAAAAAATCACCCCCTCCCACCCCAAAAAACCCCCAAACCAAACCCAAACACACAAAACGAAAAAACCCCTGCATTTTCCCAAATTAAGTGGTGAAGTCCAGATGAATGTTTATGTGACCTTTTGAAAATGTATTTAAGCAATTTGTTTTATTTATTACTTTAGAGTGGAGTAGCTCCTGTCAGGCCTTAGACATAAAAGACCCTGCCTTGAGAGCAATATATATTTGGTCCCTGTGTAGAGCAGTGGCGGCCATGAGTCCATGTATCAGTTTGATGATGGGTCTGTACCTGCAAGGTAATAGAGGCAGAGGTTTTATATAAGTTTGATTAATCAGTTTCTCCTATTTTCTTCTTGGAAGGCCAGTGCTTTGACCACTGTCCTTAGGGTGTGGTTGCACCTGTGGAGTGGTCTTGGTAATAATACTGAACCTGTAGATAGCTTTTGTGTTAGGTACCATCTGATGTATCAGGGTTATAGCAATGGTCATCCATGAACAGTAAGTTCAGTAAAATAGTGAATGCTTGTGTGTAGTGAAATTACTCCCATAAAGCTAATTTATAGGGATATTTTTCTATGTTTTAGATCAAACAAACACAAAAGGCTATTGTACTATTTTCTCTATAGAATTTTATCATGCTGAGATGAAAATCAAGTGGTGTAGAAGTGGACAAACTGTATAAAGTCCTTGCAGCCTGTCCAGTTTTTGTTGTACTAAGGGCTCCATGGACAGGAAGAAGGAAGCATGAAAAGGCCAAGAAAGTCAAACATCTGTGTAGCTTGCATTTATTTTGCCAAATTTAACAACATACATTCATCACAGATGTTCTTACCAACCTTAATGTTATCACTTTAATGTTATTTACATTTTTATGGTTATTTTCATTTCTAGATTCTTTAGAAGTTGTTTCTTACCGAATTTACTCCGGTGATACCCATGGAAGATTCTCTATTGATCCCCAGTTTGGTATCATCCGCACCAAAAAGCAACTTGACCATGAAACTCAGTCAGTTGTGGTGCTCACCATTCAGTCACAGTTGGGTAACTTCCCAGTCTACAGTAGCACCCAGGTCAACGTATCCGTGATAGATGTTAATGACAATCGGCCGGTATTTCTTACCAGATCTGATAAGGTAACTATTTCACATACTCAGCCTCCTGGCACTGCTGTCTACATTGCTCATGCAGAAGACAAAGACAGTGGCCTAAATGGGGCAATCAAATATAGTATTGCAAGCAAGCAGTCAAATACATTTAGCATTGATCCAAGCCTCGGAGTGGTAAACCTTACCAGGACAGTGTTTGCAGATGTACAGCATGAATATACTCTACATATAGCAGCTGAGGACTGTGGAAGTCCTCCTCTGATGTCTTTGCTGATGTTGACAGTGATTATTGAAGAGCAGAAGATGGGCCCCACTTTGGTTTTTCAAAACCTGGTGTATCAAGTAGAAATCAGTGAAGCTACCTCTCCAGGTGCCCAAATCCTTCAGGTTCAAGCCCACTCGCTTGATCTACACAGTGTTACCTCCAAGCTGTCGTATTCCTTAGAGCCTAACATAGATTCTGTTGCATTTGGAATCGGCTCTGATACTGGCTGGATTTATCTTCGGAAACGTTTGAACTATGAATGTGCACAGATATTAAGTTTTAGAGCCCTGGTCAGCACCTCTGAGGACACAAACTCCAGGAAAAATGCAAGTACATTGGTAATAGTTAACATCCTGGATGAAAATGATAATTCTCCTATGTTTATTCATGAGAGCTACTTCTTTGAAATGGAGGAAAATCCACTTCCCAGGGGTGTGGTTGGCACCATTACAGCTATTGACAAGGACTCAGGAAGAAATGGACAACTTTCCTATTTCCTCTTGTCTGATGGAAAATACTTCAAGATAAATTCCAATACAGGTAGCATTTTATGATTTGTAATCTGCCTAGCATTGCTTTTGGAAAGCAGCACTCCCTAAGGGGATGGTCATAAAGTGTAAAGCTTTCAGGAACTACTGTTGGTATGTGAATTCCAACTCAGAGCTTCACAACTTGAGAAATGAAATAAATCTAATACATGTTCATGAAGAATGAACTCACCATTAGGGTTTGATTTTTTTCATTAGTTCAATCTGGTCACTTGGTCATAAGTCTCAGTGTTTAACAAATTAAAAGGAGTTTTAAGTTATAGTTTCGATAGATCATATGTGGAACTTAATTGCCTGTGATCAAGTAAATTTGAAAGGTACAGATCAGCCATAAATAACTGTAAAGGTAACTATGGCATCTGACAATTACAGCCTTTTAAAAAGTGTATGAAAACTGTAAATTACATCCAAACTGAGTTCATGTTGTACGTGTCACCACGGAAAGCCAGTGTGCTGAGAGACTTTTTTCATGGTACAGGGCCATTTACCTGTAGTGAATCCCAAGCACATTGAGTAGTCAACACTATAGGCACACAGTGTGTACAGGCACCACAGAATGTGGAGAGCCCAGAGGCAGGGAAACCACATGCACTGCAGACAATCCAATTCAGCAAAATTCTATGTAGCGAGCTAGGAGCTGCTGTTTAAAACTCCTTTTCCCAGCTCTCCTGACCTCATGCAGTCTTTCCTAGAATTTCTTTTTAAGAATAAAACGGTCATTTCAAAGCAAGTTCTTATTGAGTACATTTATAGAAGTTTAAAGGCAGAGAGGGTACTAGGAGTTAACCAAGAAGATCTTAGAATAATCTGTGGTTATTTGCATGAAGTATTCTGGTCAGCTGCAAATCTTCAGCTGAATTGAGTGTGGTTGGGCAGATGGAGAAGGTTGGGTCAGTTTTATTCACCGGGTTTACCAGGTTGTATAGGACACATAATGACTGATTGATGTTCAGACATTGTATTGAGAATTTCCTAACTCGGGCATAATAAAGACCATTTGTCAGCAGTTCAAACCCTGTGTGAATATATTACTTTTCCTGAAGTGTGGTGAAGAAAAGGCCAGATTGATTCATTTGGAGGGTCAGTGTGTTGGTTCATACTGTTTTACACCTTTGCTTCAGGGGATCCACTGTATGTTAAGGGATGCAATATTCATTTTCCTTGTCCATCAGGTGAAATTATAAACTGGGTTGCACTAGACCGTGAAAAACAAGCTCACCACCAGCTGACCGTGCTAGTGACCGACCACGGGTCCCCGCGGCTGAACGCCACGACAGCCGTGTACATCGCGGTGAGGGACCTCAATGACAACAAGCCCCTCTTCCCTCAAGCGGAGCCCGGAGGAGAGCTGCAGCTCCAGGTGGGCGCGGCCGGCGGGGCGGGATGCGCGGCCGGCG